TATGCCTATTTATTCCATTAAAATTTACCATATTAAGAAATGAGAAATTTAAAAATATTTGTATAGTAATTTATTTAAAGATAACCAACTCCATACACGTTAAAATGTATTATGAAAAATAACTCTAGGGGCAACCCTTCCGGGTCCCCTCCCACTGTGGGAGCTTCTCTGTCCTCTCAATAAATCCGGCTTTAAAAAAGAAAAGAAAAGAAAAATAAGTCTGTTTTTTAAAGCAAAACAAAATTTGGTGAGAAGAATGCTATTGTTTTACATGTTTGCAAGTCTTTTTAATGTCTGACTTCATAGAAGACAACCGAATTCTCATATCTACTTCTGTACCTGACCGGTTGCAATATGTTTTTTGATTGAAGTAGCTGAAGGATATATAGTCTCACTCAAAGATGTAGTTGGAAAAGGAAAAAGTTTTTCCCAGACTTTTCAGATAATTGTAGAAATTTCTCTTTGTTACCATACCAAAACTTGGTAAGTGATAGTTTCCCAAGATTAATTATAATGTAGAATCTGACACCACATTGGTATACTATTCTGTTATATTAAATCCTTTTATAAATTCTGTACTTTGAATAAATCTTCATTCATACCTGATTTTGTAGCATCATGCATTGGTTATTTGTAAAATACTGGTTTGCTGAGTGATGCAAGAATTTAAAAATGTTAACACATTTCATTATAAAACATCACTCTTTTTAATATCACCAACAAATACATCAGAATTTTTTTTTTTTTTTTTTTGAGTAGGAGTCTCACTCTGTTACCCAAGCTTGAGTGCAGTGGCATGCTCATGGCCACCACAGCCTCGATCTGCTGGGCTCAGGTGATCCTTCTGCCTCAGTCTTCCAAGTAGCTAGAGCCACAGGTACGCACCACCGCACCGGGCTAATTTTTTTATTTATTGTAGAGACGAGGTCTCACCAAGTTGCCCAGCCTGGTCTCAAACCCCTGGGCTCAGGTAGTCCTCTCCCTTCAGTCTCCCAAAGTGTTGAGATTATAGGCATGAGTCACCACGCCTGGCAGAAATCTTTATGTATTAGGAAACTCTCAAATGCATAGTGGCAGATCATAGTGGTTTTTTAAAATTCTGATATTTTGCTGAAAACATGAATTGTATCGTTGATGACAATTACTGTCATTGTTTCCCTTGTGAGTACACTTTTATGAAAATGTCTGCCAAACATCCAGGGTTGAATAACCACAATTTGTCAGACATTCTTTCAAATAAAAACAGGGTCATATGAAAAAAGTGGCTATTTTTGCTGCAGACTAAAACAATGGCTTAAGTGCTTTTTTTTTTTTAATAGGAGTTATTGTGATTCAAATGAAGAATTTCAAATGAATTTGTAGCCAGCACCGTGGCTCAAGCCTGTAATCCCAGCACTTTGGGAGGCCAATGTGAGGGACTTGCCTGAGCCCACAGGTTCGAGAATAGCTTGGCAACTTGGCGAGATCTCATCTCTACAATAAATCAAAAAATTAGTCAGGTGTGGTAGTGCACACCTGTAGTTCTGGCTACTTGGAAGGCTGAGGTGGAAGGATCGTCTGAGCCCAGCAGGTCGATGCTGGGGTGGCCATGAACATGCATGCCCCTGCCCTCCATCCAGCCTGGGTGATGGAATGAAACTCCAACTCAAAAACAAACAAACAAAATGAATTTGTTTTTACTGTGAATGTGTGGTGGTGAAGCCTGTAATGTGTGAAGTTTGGGACAGATGTCATGATTTGTAGTAGAGCTTTTGCAATTATATTCATCATCCCTTTTATACCATCAGCATGAATGTGAACACAGTGAAAAAAAACAGAAAACGTCTTACTATAAAAATAGTTTTGACTTAATGAAAGAGCTCAGAAGTTGTGGGGTACACAAACCTCTTTTTTTTTTTTTTAGTATAATTGCTGGTTTAAGGTCATCTGGATACAGCTGTGGGAAGGTGTCACACTACCTTCTGCTTTTTGAAAATGTAAAGAAAACACATTTCAAATGTCTGTTGTATTTTTTTTTAAAGGAGATAATCATATCTTAAACTCATGGCCTTGATAATTTTAAACATTATTTCTTTTTAGTCCAAGGTCAAAAGTTTAAAAGTTGCTATTTCAACATTTTTGGCATTGGCATTTAGTAATCTGAAATGTCTTTTTTTTTTCCCATTTCTGCAATGCCTAACATTTGACAGAACCCTGACAACCAAATCACAGAAAAGTAAATTCTTTTTCCCTCCAAAGGCTTTCAGGGATATAGTCTTAGTCAAGAGTGATAATGTTTGACTTCACAAAATTGATTTTTCAGAAGCAGGTCCTATTTCATGTCTTAAAGTATCTTATGTATAGTAATGACAACTCATTATGTTTTAGGTTGTGAGATAGCATTTTTTCCCCATAAAATCATATAAAAGGATACTCTATTTTAAAAGGTTGATTTAAAGTGTAATTGTTCTACTCTATTTCTTTAAGAAGACTTTTTATGGATGATTATCTGAGTCCTGGGTTTAGGAAATGCTGATTTCCTAAAATGTTTATGCAGTGCGTTAGGTTAAAATATTCTATCCCAGTAGGGCCTCCAAATGTTAAGTCAGACCCAACGGGTTGTGTGTGCAATTCGGTACCACGTGAAAGATCCAAAGAATTGCACAGAAGTTAGATTAGAAATTATAGTTCATTTAGAAAATAAATTAGAGAGAGAGACAGAGAAAGGGAGAGAGAAGAGATTCACCTCCCCAAGGTTAGGGGAAGGGACCAAAGCCAGGAAAACATGGCCTGGCCATAACTCAAAGAACACATGGTCAGACCACAGCTTAGCAAGGCAATGGCTAGAAAATAAATTAGAGAGAAAGGGGCTTCACCTCTCCAAGATAAGAGAGGAGGGCAAAGCTTAGCAAACATGGCAGCATCCATAGCTCAAAGAGCACATGGCTAGACCAGAGTCTAGTAAAGCAGTGGTAACTGGCTGCTTGGAGTCAATCCTTTTAAACTTTCCCTTTGGTTGTGGGAAGGTAGTCAAGATGATTGGATGGTGGTCTGCTCCACGTTATCATGGAGAGCCAGTATGATAGGTACTGATGTCAGGTGATGGAAGGCAGGTGGATGAGTAGGCTAGTCACATGATTGCTGCCATGGTGATGGGATCTGTGTTAGGTTAACTTATTTAGAAAACAAGCTGGGGAGGGAGCAGTAAAGCAATTGTCAATAGCTACCTCTGAGAAACTGGTTCAGTCCTTGGCTAGTGGTTTTGAGGATAAATTAAAGTGAACTGCTAGAGAAAAATGACAAAGCTAAGCAATGTAAAAATGGCTGCTCATTGGCTGTATTGACTCCATGTTATATCCTTTCACAGTGTATTTGTTAAACCCATATATTCTTTTTAATCAAAGTTCAGGTAGTTATTTAAAGCAATCAATAATTCATTTAATGGGCCATGGTTAAAATTCAGTTTTTGGGCTCTGGCTTATGTGTTGTTTTTCGAGTGATCCTCGAAAGAGACAATATTACAAAAAATGGGCGAAAAATAAATGAGTTGGAGCCAAAAGAGAATTTTATGAGAAACAAAAATTTACCAGATAAGTAAAGATACTTATGTTACCAGATACTTAAAAGGGAGCAAAAGATTAAGCTAACAAACTAGCTCCTTGGAGATGATCTGGAGATAAATATTACCCTTGGGACTTAAGAACAGAAATTTAGTTGTAGGATTTTTTTTAATTATAAAATAATTTCAAATTTGCAGAACAGTATAGCAAGTAACCATATGCTCATCATTTAAATTTAATAGCTGTTACTATTTTTGGTGTATTTTAAACTGAAAACATGACTACATTTTACTTCTAAATAAGGTAGTATGCATCATTAAAAGATAAAAAAGTTTCAAATATAAATTTTTTTTTTTTTTTTGAGTTGGAGTCTCACTCTGTCGTCCAGACTGGA